CCAGCTGGCAGCAGCTACCCAGAGCTGGGGCTGGCTGCAGCCTGGAGGCTCCAAATAGCTGCACCAGGCTCCAGAGCCCCAGCATCAGCTCTGTACTGGCGCTTGCACGCGCACCTCGGATCAGACAGTGGGGGAGGGGCCTGAGGCAGCGCAACCCCAGTCTCTCCCGTGCTCCTGGCACAGCGGGTGACTGGGCTCCAGAGCCCAGCGCAGCTGTTGTAGCCAGCCTGGGCTCTGGGCTGCTGCAGCAAGCAATGGGTAGGCTGCAAACAGCTGCGCTGGGCTCCACAGCTCCCGCATCAGCTCCATGCTGGCAGCAACTGCGCACGCATCTCGGGGCAGACAGCAGGGCAGCGCAGCCCGCTCTGAGGTGCGCACGCTGTCGCTGCCAGCATGGAGCTGATGCTGGAGCTATGGAGCCCGATGCAGCTGTTTGCAGCCTGACTGCTGCCTGCTGCAGCTGCCCAGAGCCCAGGCTGGCTACAAACAGCTGCGCCAAGCTCCAGAGCCCAGTCACCGGCTCTGTGCCAGGAGCAGGGGAGAGACCAGGGTCGTGCTGCCTCAGGCCCCTCCCTCGCCGCCCACTCCTAGGCATGTGTGCACGCATTGGTACAGAGCTGACGCTGGGGGTCCGGAGCCCGGCATAGCTTTTTGGAGTCTCCCAGCTGCAGCTAGTCCATATTCTCTGTAGCTGCTGCCAATCATGGAGCCTGGGCTGCTTGCAGCCTCCCAGTCACCTGCTGGGAGCAGCCCGGGCTCTGTTGCTGGCAGCAGCTACCCAGAGCCAGGGCTGGCCATGGCGTGTTGAGCAAAATGGCCTTGTGTGACATGCTTGGCATGTGTGCCAGGAGTTGCCGACCCCTGTTATAACCTAAACTCTGTTCTTATTAGAGCTGAAACAATTGGATACAAATACTAGGGAATTTAGCCTCCTTCCAGTTATTGATTGTGCAATGAGCAGCTTGGCTTTCTTGAATGATGTAGATAGTTCATGCTCAGTTAGTTATATAAATTTCCTAGTCCTAAATCCAGTTGTGTTTTCAGGCGTGGTTGGGCACATGGGTCCAGACAAACATACTGTTAGGGTGGGTGAAATGTAGGGGTTCATGACAGCTGATCCATAGTAATTTTTAACAGTTGTTTCTTTCAAGAGCAGTCTGCTCCAGTTTAGCTTTCACTTATCACAGGACATAGTGGGTACACTGAAAAATTATTGTGGATCAGGTGACCTATAGTAATTGCTTTTAACTTGGTATATAATTTGATAGTCTGTTTGCAGTTGTTCAGGTTTCAGGGCACAACTCCATGTTTCCACATTCAAGTTCTACTTTCAGTAAATATTCTGTTGAAATTCACTTTGTGTGTGAGATTCCTGTCATTGCTATATAATGTCTAAGTGCCCCCAACTACTATCTATGTTTTCACTTTGATTTATTATTGCTTTAGAAATAAGAAGAGACATCTTTGAAGGCACAAGCCTCTGTTCTCCAAAATACTTTGTAGTAGTCAGAAATAATTCTATCTAGATAAAATAAGTGATATTTATTGGAAGCTTACAGCAGATAAAACAGAAATAAAATCTTGTATATTAAATTCTCATCATGTAAAAGGTTCTTTTTAGTCTAGGCCAGCACTAATTCGCAGTTTATACATATTCATGTGGTAGAAGTAATATTTGACTCCCTTTGTAGAAAATCAAGCCCAATATAATTGGCCCCAGCTGTTGATCTTTAAAAATTAAGGAAATGCATACAAAGGATATGCCTATCTTATTTCATAGATTTCATAGACATTAAGGCTGGAAGGGACCTCGCGAGATTATCAGGTCTAGCCCCCTGCCCAAGAGGCAGGAAGTATGCTGGGGTCAGGTCACCCCCACAAAATAAGCATCCAAGCATTTGTTAAAGTTATCCAGAGCAGGTGCTTGCACCACTTCTGTGGGGAGTCTATTCCAGATTCTGGAGACTTGGACAGTTGGGGGTGCCCTGGTGAACAGACATTTTCCCGGTTCTTGATGCACACCCCTATATACTTATAGGTTGCCACCAAGTCACCCCTAAGCCTTTGCTTCTCTAGGCTGAAGAGTCCCATGCATCTCCTCATAAGGCCTGTTCTCTTGACTTCTAATCATGTGGGTAGCTCTCCTCTGGACTCTCTCAAGCTTCTCTACATCCTTTCTAAAGTGTGGAGCCCAGAATTGGATGCAGTACTCCAGCTGCGGCCTCACCAAGGCTGAGTAAAACAGGAGGATGACTTCTTGGGTCTTGCTTGACATGCAACTTGTACCATCAAAATACAGAATGCTTTGATGAAGATATTCTGCCACAAGTTACATTTCCATTCTGTTATGACATATCTTTTGGCAAATTCCACTAACTGTCTGTTTCAAACGTGTTTTATCTTAAAGCTTGTCAGTTGCCTTTTATATACTGAGAGATTTGATTTTTCTTCAGTCTAGAATCATGTGTTGAACATAAAAAAATTCCTAGTATTCCTGAAAGCAGTGTATTGCCTTCTATGGATAGATTTCATTAGCATGTTATTTACAAGCCTGTGAACTCACTCTGGTCAGAATTTATGCTTTAGTTTTCCATTAGTTTTTTAAACTAAGTAATGATACCAATGCATGTGGCACGTCACAAGATGATCTTAGAAATTTGCCATCTAACATTAGTGAAATAAGTGATTTGGGAAGAGCTGTTTCATAGTGAAGTACTACCTTTTTCAGTCCTAAAGAATTTATTTTAAATATCTCTTGTGTGGCTTTCTGTGTATGTGTGAATCATGATGAATAAGGTGTAGACATCAGCAAATTATCTATTTGTTCTTTATGCAGGTTGTTCAAGGAAGGAAATCACTGAACACTGGGAATGGCTTGAACAGAATCTTTTGCAAACTCTTTCCATCTTTGAAAATGAAAATGACATAAACACATTTGTCAGAGGAAAAATACAGGTAGCATGCATATGCGTAACCATTGTAAATGATAGAGGGGGGCTTTAGGATGTGAACTCTTATGTATCTTATCAACAAATTGGACCTAGTGGTCTCTACACTGCTCTGTTCCTTAAAACAAAACCTCATTCCAAGTGACCATATGGTTATATCTAGGTTAAGGAAATTTGCAGTGGTTGAAATATCTACATCAAAATAATACGTGAGGTTCCCAACTTCACCTGTTCTGTCCTTGGGTTCTACTTCAACATATAAGGTTAATGGTGAAAAATGTTTTTTGGTCCAAAAGAAATGTGCAATGATTTATAAATATGCACAGACATTTTAGAAATGCATACAGATTTCCCTCGATTTATGCAGTAGATGCGTTCCCAGGGAACGGCGTATAAATCAAATTTGCATAAAGCAAGCCCAGTTTACAATGGAACAAATAGGGATGCATTCCCAGGGCAGTGACGGAGGGAGGAAGTAGGGCTGGGGCTAGGGAAGGGGTGGGGAGAGGGCAGCGCCGCAGCCCAGTGGCTGCAAGTAGGCAGCATCTGCCATTCCCAGAGATGCAGCAGGGGCAGCACCAGGCTCTTCGTGGTGCTTGGGGTGGGTGGCAGCCCCACTCACCCCACCCCGAGTGCCAGGAAGAGCCTGGTGCCTCCGCCGGTCTGAGCCTGCTCTCATCCTGCTGCAGGTGGCTGTCCACCTCTGCTGTAGCCCTGGGAGGTTTGGGGCATGGTGCAGCCCAGCAGCTGCAAGCCACTTGCATTGGTCACTCCCAGAGCAGCTGCAGCAGGGGTGGGTAGTTGCCTGTAGCTGGACGAGAGCAGGTTGGGGCTGGCAGCCACTGCAGACTCGGGCTGGCGGCAGCACCAGGCTCTTCAGGGGTGGGTGAGTGGGGCCTGGCCCCATGGCCCTTTCCCCTCCCCTTTTCCCTCCCCTCACAAACTCAGACTTATCTTCTTGGGGTAGGATGGAGTGCACCTATGCCAATCACGTAAGATTGGCCTACGCTGATCACATATATGCGAATTTACCTCGCATATAACAAATTTGAGGTAAAAAGGGTCATCACCAGGGATCCTGGTTTTCTCAGATTTAACAGTCCCCCTGTACCCCCCCATTTTTGGTTGAAAAAAAGTAACCCCCAATCCACATTTTTCCGTGATTAAAATGAAACATTACTAATATGTTAGATATCTATATAGCGGTGTTTCATTTTAATCACGGAAAAATGTGGATTGGGGGTTACTTTTTTAAACTGAAAATTGGGGATTTTTTTTTTTAAATGGGAGAAAAACAGGATCTCCGGTCATCACATAAGAGCAAATTCGCGTAAATCAAGGGAAGCCTGTATAAGTATCTGAAAATAGATGCAGTGAGTTATAAATTGTACTGGCTTACAGAACATAAAACTCTTACAGGTACTGATGCTGATGTCTTAAATGAGTTTTGCGTTCTGTATTACATGGGAGAACTTGGAAAAATAATGTTGGCATATAGTACCAACTGAACTACACCAAGTACACCAGTACAAAACCTCTGTGATCCAGACCTTTGATTCTGTCTAGCTCAGGGGTCAGCAACCTGTGGGCCATGGGACCAATCCAGGCCACCAAGCAATGTCATGACACAGGGACATAGGTGGCATGTCCACGGAGGGTCATATGTACAGCAGAAGGGAGAAGCAGGAAAGCACCAACCCACCTCAGGACTGAGCTGCATTCATTTTGACCCACTGCTTCTAAAAGGTTGCAAACCCTGGCCTTGCTCCATTCTTGGCCATACTGGCCAGTGTATAATTTACCACGGGGCTGATCTACAAGAGCAATATGACAGTGGCCAGCTTCTTCTGCAGAGCAGATATACGAGGACTATTGGGCTTTCCTCAGTTCCTTGTAGTTTCTTAGCAGTGGGAAAAAATCACAGAGCACCTGCCATAGCAATCCTTGTCCCCCTGCAAACCCTAGGGAGAGACGGACCCTAGCCTTGCATACCCAAAAAGAATTTGGGGGCAGGCAGTCCTTGTGTGCATAGTAATTTAAGGGGGTCCCCCCTTCATCTCAAACCCCAGCAAAAGGTTCCTACTTGCAGAGTGCCCCTACTTGCTGCAAGCACAGCCCTACACAGATTCTTACCTGACTGCTCTGCTAGTCCCTGTGGTTGGGAATGTGTGCCGGAGCCCCTGTTCCAGTCCACAGCATGCCAAGCTCCAGGACCTGGCAGATGTCAAGGAACATCCCAAAACACAGCATCCTTCTAGATGTGTGAAGGCAGTTGCATGGTTGATTCTGTATCATATGCCAGGTAGCAGCTGCAGCAGCAGGGGCTGGTTCAGAGGCACCAGCATGGCACCAACTGGCCTGGCACCTGGTATGAAACAGCTTCAGGACACATGCCACTGCCACAGATCCTCCATATATCCAAAAGCTTTGGGATGGGCTTTGCAGTCTGCTTGGTGAGCTGTTTAAAAGCTTGGCAGCGCATATTTAGGCCATACATTGCAAACCCCTTCTGTTAACTGCAACTTCTAAAAAAAAAAAAAAAAAAAAAAAAAATTTTTTTTTTAAAATTAACGCAATTTAAAAAAAAAAAAAGGTTTT